GATCTGACAAAGATTACATATAAAGATCCGTCAGTATTCTACGACTATGACGATACAAGTGTTACGTTTTTATTTATTTTTATCATTATGCACATTACTTTTTATTTGCCCTATCATCCAGTTAATAAAACAGTTTCAACTGAGAAGAGAACTAGCAAGAAATTTACCGTTATAAATATGTTATTCTATAACATTTGATTATTCGAGTTAAAAAAAGAACAACACCTATAAATCTTAATTAAAAACCGGCCCAGAGTTTGTCGGTCACACTATACGCGACTATGAGTTAATGGATTTATGGCATTCTCCTAATATATGTTAAAATAAACAGACTAAATATATGTAAATTTGTGCATCTATGTTTTCTGTAAATAGAGCTAGGAATACTTGAAATATGTAATGAAATACAAATGATTTTATAAATGTCTTATTATTGATAGATAGATAGATACTCTTTATTGTTTCCTACAAAAGATTACAATAGTAAACTTATTATAAATATAAATAATTACAAGAAATAATCACAATGAGAAAACAATGGGCGACCTTATCGCTAAGAGCGATCTCTTCCAGGCAACCTTTGGATGGAGAGGAGTAATTATAAACAATTTGGTGGGAGGCACGATGAAAAATTTTGTTAGTTCTAAATATGGGAGATGTGATACTATAATAATATAAATATTATCCCTCCTATATATATATATATATGTACATAAGATTTTAAAGGAAATTTACTTGATGAAGTCACGTTGAATGTAGATATTAAGTTGGATTCTGAGACATGATTTTTCGAAATTTATCTAAATCTAATACTTTAATTGGATAGTTTCGTGAAATTACTGTTTTATGGACGATTATAAATTAAATTTATCATAGTTTTGCCATAAATCTATTTGAAATTTAGTTCATATTGGTCCACAGGATAAGGATTAAAATTTTAATTTTAGCTTCAGATTTGTCTCTTTTGTTATTATTTGATTGTAAAATATCAAATTAGCGACTCATCCGGGTTAGCATGACATTATCTGTAATTATTTTATTTATTTATTTATTTTTTAATAAAATAATTCAGACAATATACAGCCTTCTATAGGTGAAGGTATTTTTATTAATTTGTTTTTTTTATACGACTTAGAATGGCAAACAAGCTGACGGCCCACTTGATGGAAAGTGGTAACCGTCGCCTATAGACATGAGCAGTACCATGGACATAACAGAGTATACTGTTTCGCCCATGATACCTCCCATGCGTTGCCATTCCTGAGGATCATCCTAATCAATCCTCTTTATAATCAGCCCCATTATATCTTTATGTAGCAGGCAAACTCGCATGTCTATATCTGTTAATAACATAAACATTTCAACACCTATTTCTGGGGGCAAGGGATCGTTAGTAATGCGGGCTACCCGTCCCATCGCTAGCAATATACCCTGTTAGGACGACCTCCACGTGGTTCCCCTGGAAATCATCGTGAACAATTCTTGTTGAATTCGTCACGATGGGCTAACTAATCTCTTCCTCATGACTGAGCTTCATCCTCACCTATCACCTCTCACTGGTGCCCCGCTAGTGTATACTGATAGCGCTTACGGGGTTACCATTCCATTATCATCCATTAAAAAAAGACCTGAAATGCATTGCAGGGAGTCAGTGGATGCAGGTGGCTCAGGACTGTTCTTTATGGCAGTCTATGGGGGAGGCTTATGTCCAGCAGTGGACGGATAATGGCTGAAATGATGACGATTATGATGATTTCTTCTGAATCATACAGTCGATTCTGATACGGGATTCAATGTAATTTTTATTCAGATTTGTATGTAAAATTTTCACACGAGCGAAGCCGGAGAGGGTTGCTAGTATATCTATTATGTTCTCATTATTCACAGCTATACGAAACGTCACCTATTCGACGTATAAATTTTCTCGGTGCAAGATTGATATGGGAGAGTACCTCAGGGAGCTGATGTCTCGCTTGCCTACACTATAACCACTGCAACAAAGGGGCTCGCGTCCTTATTCTGAACATTGATAAACAATTATCAATGTTTAACCGACCGAGAAAAAGGGGTTTTCAATTCGGTTCTGTTTTTTATCTAAATAACTAGTTTTTTTAATCGATTTTAAACAAGTCCTCAATTCGGTTGTATTCTTTTTACGTTAATAACTTGTAATTCCGTTATTTATAAACCAATTTATTTATTTTTTTATCCGGAAGGATATACTTTTAGTTTTTTTTTTTTTTAATGGGTGATAATGAAATGGTAACCCCGCCTGCGCTATCGGTATACACTGGCAGGGCACCAGTGAGGGATGATAGGTCAGTTAGCCTATCGTGACGGATTCCGCTAGAATTAATCATGATGGTTTCCAGACAACCGGTGGAGAAGAAAGGTACTTGAGTGGCGACCCCGTACGCAAATGCAGTGTAAGATGACCTACCCCCCCCCTAGATGGAGTGACGAATTTAAATGCATTTCAGTGAGTTAATAGATGCAAGTGACCGTTTCTTATGGCAGTCTATGCCCCCATAGACATGCCTATGTCCAACAGTGGACAGATAATGGCTGAAATGATGATGATAAATGAAGACTTTGTAATATACACATAAACAGTTCAAAACCTATTCCCTCTTTAAATTACTTAAAATTTATATTAAATAGTTATTTGTGTATTCTAGTGTGTAGACCACACACATGGTATTTTTAGTGCTTAATTATGAGTTTATCAAATACGCACTGGTACGTCGACGTCAGACAATGTTGTTATACAGTTTTGTCTTAAGAATAAACATGTATGTACATTCCATATCTATTTGTAAAGTGTGAATATAGTAATGTGGATATACAGAGGGAGACTTTGTACAAAAGTCGATTGCTTGGCTACCTCTGTCCCATTGGCGTTTCTACCGTGAAGCAGTTGTGTTTGCATGGCTGTGTTTCGGTTTGAAGGGTGGGATATGGCGTGAATTTACTAGGTACAGAGAAATAACACCTGAGTCCTCAGGAATGGCAACGCATGGGGGGGTATCGTGGGCGAATCAGTATACTCTGTTATGTCCATGGTACTGCTCATGTGTATAGGCGACGATTACCACTTTACATCAGGTGGGCCGTCAGCTTGTTTGCCATTCTAAGTTGTATAAAATATATAGATATAGGTATATTTCCAATATATATTTGTTAGTAATATTTTGATGCTTTCATTATTTATTAATTATGTAATTTTTTAAGGTTTCATATACATAACACAGCTGCTTCACGGTTGAAACACGAATGGGACAGAGGTACCCAAGCAATCGACTTTTGTACAAAGTCTCCCTCTGGTGATTAAATATAATCGTAATCTTTTATAGTTACATATTAGTATTAATTATTGTAAATAACTTGACATGTACGTACAAATTGTAATTACCTGTAGTGTATTGGAGTTTGTCCTTCTGTGAACTGCAGGTAATAATAAATAAATAAATAAATTATTATTATAATAATTTTGGGAATTCCTTTACAGTTATATTTATTCGACTATGGAATAGTTTGCCATCCGAAATAAGGAAATTGACAAGTATAGGCATGTTTTAGCGTCGTATAAGAGAGCATTACTTATCACTATGCTGACGTATTATGTATGTGTGTATGTATATTTATATATGTTTATATGTGCATATATATGTATGTGTATATGTATGTTTGTGTAAGTATATGTGTATGTTTACAGGGTTTCTGTATTTTATGTAATTTATAATGTGTAGTTTGTATTATTCTTTGTGTATACATAACTTATGTGTTTATACAATATAAGCAGATCGTATGACTGCCTATTTTTATTTTTAAAATAACACAATCTACATGAAAAGGTTTTGCTGGAAGAAATCTCTTATTAGAGATAAGCTCGCCTTTGTACATTATGTTTATAATGAATTGTGATTAACACTATGTTTTGTGTACAATAAAAGAATAAAGGAGAATAAATATATCATATGCATAGCAGTAAATTCTGTAATTCATATATGTAAGCACCATTGCCACATTTCATTATGTAATCGACTTGTTTCCATGAAATAAATATCGAATAGGTAATTTATCCGAATACGACCGTTTTTCCAGCCAGGAGCCAACCCTTTCCTGTACATTCAATTAACTGACACATAGCGGGAGAGATGGGAAAAATCACATCGTAATAGAAAACAAACGGTCCCGCGGTCTGATATGAAAACTAATTGACAGATAGTAGGTGGGGTTGCTGGATCATTCGATTATATAGTTACTAGCGACCCGCCCCGGCTTCGCACGGGTGCACATCACATCACATTAGAAACCTCTAAAATTATCTGTGTTCCTCTACTATATTACGTATGTATTATACATATAAATCTTCCTCTTGAATCAGTCCATCTATTAAAAAAACCGCTTCAAAATCTGGCGCGTAGTTTTAAAGATTTAAGCATACATAGGGACGGACAGACAGCGACAGCGACTTTGTTTTATACTATGTAATGATTATGACAATTCTTAGATGACTTAGGTTTGATTTCTAAATATAGCTTTACGGAGATAATTACGGTTTTTTTAATTCTATAAATGTATATTCGCATGCCTAATGAAAGACTGACCTAACTCAAAAAATACAATTGTTGGGAAATCGCAAAAGAAGATTTTGCTATAAGGACTTAGCCTACTTGTTGATGAATAACATTAAAACGGATTATTAATTAACCATGAATGATTGTATTTTAAAAATATGATTAACTATTGATCAATACCAAGTAAAAACAAATGCCGAAAATAATTTCTATCTATTTAAAAAAAAATATGTAAAATGTACATTCTAAGTTAAGTCAGTTTTTTATAAAAAGTAAAGCAAACATTTTTAAATGCAAGTATTCTATTAGGTTTTAAGCCTGTTTCATTTTAAATTATTAATTATTTATAATGACTAATTTAGGATTTAGTCTATATATGATTACATTGGGAAAACATATTTAGAGAATGGGTCATTTTATTCAAATTAGCAGACTGTCGATAAACTTAATACCAGCCATTTTCAAATTATTAAAAGACATTAATATAAATAATAAACTTTTATTGCAATATTCTTTATCAGTAGCACATACAAATAACAAATTTGACGTCTCAATTTTATTTATTGGTTCTATAAATCAACATAAAAATAATGCAAAAAAAAGCAATAGAATTGCTTGTTTGAATTGAAATTATAAAACAAAATTTCTATATTAGAACATAAAAGTTTTAACAAACTTAAAAAATATACACACTTTGGTTATTAAACCTATAAAATAAATCAATGTATTAATCAAGTTTAGTTAAATTACTATAAAACAAAATCAAAACTTATAAAGAAAACATAATTAAACTTTTTAGATTTTTTTAAATAACTTTGGTATGTAATCATTGTTTTATTAATCTTAAGTTAATTTATTAATTATAAGGTGGGTACACTATTAAAGAATAGAGTTATAAAAATCTAAATAAAAATTTGGAATAATTTTTTTTGATAAAAGCTCTCTCAGATCTTTCTTTTTGTTCTCACTTAGCTCTTTCTTTTGTATGTAGGCATTAGTTGGTTTAATTAGAAGCAGAGGAAGCATTTTCTTCCTTGTATTTCTGATGCTTACTTCCTGGTATACGTTATGTTTGTACGAAGTTTTAATGAAAAATGAAAAAGGTGTATCTTTTTTCACCATTATCACCTTTATGTCATTCCATAAAACAGTAGTCCCGTTTTTACTTTTATTAAAGTTAACACCCCAATCTTCTTGAAGTTTTTTCAAATTTTGATTTGTAATAAAATGCTGCATTATTTCCTCTAGGAGATTGCAAAACAGCTTGTAGATCAAACACAAGAACTTTATTTCCATCATCTATTTTGCAGCGATCATTATATTTTTCTTGGCGGCTCAATGTTTTTTCTTCTAAATGGGCATTGTACAAATCATTAAGTAATACTTTTTGCTGAAGCGTCGTGTTATTATATTGCAAACATAAATCGCATTGATCTTTTTTGGGACGAAAAAATGATATATTATAATCTTGTGTAAATACTTTATAAAATGTACAATATCTACCAGCTGCTTTGTTATTTTCATTTTGAGCTACTTTAAAGTCTCTGAAAAGATCTGAAATTGTTTTCCCGCCATCAATATACTCACGAGTAGAATATTGCCTAATGTAATGGGATTCAATTCTTGGTATCGAATCTATAAACTCTTTAATATCGTTTAGTAGTTGTTTATCAACTCTTGCATGGTTGTTGTGCTGTCCTCTCAGATCTTGTGCTAGAATTCCATGTTCATCTATTTTGCTTCTGACAGTTCGTATAACACGATCAGAAATATCTAAGGTTTTTATAAAAAACGTTTTACAGACTCGAACAGACTGCCCTTCTACTACGAAATGGAAAGCTTTATTGCAATTTCTTGGATTACTAGCATTTGTATATTTATATTTTGGGTTTATATTAGTCATACAAGACATAATGAATGATCTTTGAGCATCAACCTGGCCGAGATTCCAATACATATCAAAAATTGTTTGTCTTTGATCTGCAGTTATCTTTTTACAGCATTTGAGTCTACATTGAATACCACAGGGTAGTTGAACAGAACGAGGATTAATTGTTTTATTTTTCATATTGATGTATGATTTTCCTGCATTTCTCAGACTTTTAGCTTTATTCTGTTTCCAGCTTTCTTCTTTCCGTTTACATTTCTGATTGCTGAATAATGTTATTTTTTATTTTGTTTTGTTCATTACTGGAGTCTGTATCGGAACTATCACTCGAAGATCCTGAAGATGATGAGGATGAAGAACATGTAGAAGATGAGGAGCTCCCTGATGATCTTGATCGACTTGGATATACTGGTATTTGCTTTTTCTTTTTAGTTGGAATGTATGTCGAATCTTGATCGCTCAAATCGACATCGCTATTTTCAGATTTGGAATGTTTTTCATCAGTGCAATCGTGGATGTCTGTGATGTTATGAAAGTCATTTTCATTGTTAATTGAAGGTGATTCCAAAACTTCAAAATATTCCTGTACGTTTGAGTAATGCTGATTTTCGGGATTGTTTGTTATATCAGTTAACATCTACAATAATAAAACGTATTTTAGTAATATATTAAAATAAATAAGAAATATACGAACCTAATTTTTAAAGTTCTTTAAAATTGTTACCGTCACTTCTGTTGATGGCACTGATTCGTGTCCTTTATCTTGTGTTGCCAATAGTGGCGCCGGATTTCGAGTCCGAATAAGTTCTATTATCTTTTTCGAGCTATTCAGCGACATTATCAACCTAAAATATAAATAGTCATATTATGCCTCTGGGACAATAAAAAATTTTTGTAAGTAGTTTTTAGATCAACAATGACTTAATATAAAATATTTACAGGAAAAGCAAAAAGTTACGCATTATATTCCATTCTTTTTTTCAAACAAAGACTAAACTAATATTATGGCCCCTAAGTAAAAATAACTTTCAGTGGTAAACAGACTTATACTCGAATGCTACAAAGTGTTACCTCAAGTAATGGATTGTTTTAATAGTAAACTGACTTAAATCTTAATAGCTCCCAAAAGATATAATAACGTATAATATTAAATTGTCTTAAAACAGAATGTTTCACGTAATATATTAGTAAAATATCTATTAAACTGACCTCAAATTTAATCTGTCAATATAAGATTACAAAATTGGATAAAACTTACTTCAAATTTAGTCGTAAACACACTCAATAATGATTGGGTCTTCGTTCAATAAAACTATAATAACCTCTCTCTACAAGTGCTGGACACAAACTGGCGTGAGTCTCTGTTTGACGAAAATACGAAGAGAGATCCCACAAATGTGAAAGAGACGGATATATTGCAGGGGTGGCAACAATGCGTAATTTCAACATAATTCAAAAGGTAGACGGTAGATAGTGGTAACAGAAGCCTACATCTGTAAGTAACTCAATTCTGACCTATCTACTAAAGAGTCAGTATTACATTAAGCATGCGTATGATATATCATTATTTTTATAACAACCATTATCCGTCCACTGCTGGAATAGACGTCTCCCATAAACTGTCATAAGGAACGGTCTTAACCCTTAAAAAAAGGGAGGAAAGGGATTGTTAGTAATGGGGTCAAATAGCCCCATTACTAGCAATATACCTTGTCAGGTCGACCTCCACGTGGTTTCCCCTGGAAACCATCGTGACTAATTCTAGTTTAATTCGTCAGGATGGGCTAACTGACCTACTTTCATCTTCATCTGTCATCCCTCACTGGTGCCCCGCCAGTGTATACCGATAGCGCAGACGGGGTTACCATACCATTATCACCCATTAAAAAAAAACCTTAAAAGCCTGATTTTTTTAATTCAAATAAAAAAAATATTAGTTTACCTTTACTGTGTTTACTAATGGGGGAAAATAGTAAAAAAATCAAAACGACAATTTTATATATTTATTTTGAAAAAAAAAAAAAACATTTGGTAACATGTGAACAGCCAAATATTAAAATAAAATCGATTGTAGGCGCCCAATGCGATTTATGACCCCGGTATCATATTTGAAACTTCAGGTTAAGCCACCTGCGTCCACTGATGCCCAACGATGCATTTGAGGCAATCACTCCATCTAGTGCGGAGTTCGTTCTACATTGCATTTGCCTATATAAGTACAGCATATATAAATACCATATATTTTTATATTTATTTACTCATTACGTTGTACTGAGTAAATAAATATATGAGTAAAAAAATATTGTTTTTTGAATTTACTGGGTACAGAGGAATAACACCTGAGTCCTCAGGAATCTGGGGGGTATCATGGGCGAAACAATATACTCTGTTATGTCCATGATACTGCTCATGTCTATAGGCGACGTTACCACTTTCCATCAGGTGGGCCGTCAGCTTGTTTGCCATTCTAAGTTGTATAAAAAAAAAAAAACTTTCAATTATATTTTCTGTTATTCCTGTCTCTGTCTAAACAAATTTGAGCGATATTCAGGTTTTGAATTACGAAACTTCCGCATCCACAATACGAGTGTCTACTTGGAGGCACGAGTATGAACCTCTTGAATATATCTACATAATTAAAATGTGATGTCGGTACGTGTGTACAATGGCGTGTAGTATGAGAGGGCTCATAACAATCTCGATCTATTGTTTGAAGTGCAAACAAGTTGGATACGACCCCTCAGGTGAAACTAATAACTTACTGTTACCGCGCCAGATACGTGTATATAGCGTGATACCTACGCAGTCATATACGTACTAAGTTACATAGATACGCTGTAATTTGGTATTTATATTATACTAAAGATCCGGCCCGGGTTCGCACGGGTAGATAGAGTTTTCGAATGGTATACGCTTCTTTCTATAGGTGAAAGATTTCTTTGAATTAGTTGTGTAGTTTTGGGTTCATCCATTTTAAACAAACAAACAAATAATGCAATCTTTTCTATAGATATGATTTTATAACCATTTTCTATATTAAATTGCTTTATTATTAAATGTTTAATGAACTCCCTAAATTAAGGTTCTTTAAAAGACAGTTGTAAATTTAGTCGGGCCGACTGGTACCTAAATTGAAAAGTAGACCTAGTTTGTTTTCTTTGACAAAGTCAAATATAAAGAATCATTGACATCAGTTAATATTTTGGCTTCATTTTAATTTTGCTAAGAAAAAAAATATTGGTACTAATTAAATATTTTTCCCACCAATTACAGAAACGAGAAAGTGTTTAATTTTAAAGAATTATTTAAGCCGCGTGGTCCTGGCATAGAATAGGCCACCGCTTCCTATCTCGTTGGTGTCGTAAGAGGCGACTAAGGGAGGGCGAGGAATGGGAAACAGCGTCGCTCTTAAAACATCTCTAAAGTCTAATAGTGGTTGCCAATTCGCCTGCCAAGCGTGACAACTACTAGCGAGGGGCAGGCTTATGGTTAGCTGTGGACAGTTAAAGGCTGGTATGATGTAGATTGCACGGAGGAATAACACCTGAGTCCTCAGGAATGGCAACGCATGGGGGGTTTCATGGGCGAAACAGTATACTATGTTATGTCCATGGTACTGCTCATATCTATAGGCGACGGTTACTACTTTCCATCAGGTGAGCCGTCAGCTTGTTTGTCATTTTAAGTTGTATAAAAAAAAAAATTAAGTGTTCAGTTCAGAACAATGGGAAAAGTTCTGTTTTTTTTTTATCAATTTCATAAAAAATAAAATAAAAATAATTTTTTTCCTTGATTAACCATAATTTAATAACAGTAATATCTAATATCGATTTATTTTCAAATTTTAATTATACGCATAATACGTCAAACGCGTTCCGTGCGCACACAAAGTGGTGTAACCCAAAATTACCTATAAAACGGCGTGTGCAAACACTCGGGCCCATTGTGAGCGAGTTATTAAAACATCCGTGTTCGACATGGCGGTAATTACTTAAGCTCAACCCTGCACTGTTTGCGTGGGCCAGGAAGGCCCGCCGATTAATAAATTTAACCCGTGTTTGAGTTGAACAGTTTCGTAGGTAGAACGGGTCATCGGCTTACGTGGATTACGGTATGCGAGTCATAATTGAGAGGCCGTTATTAATTTTACGGTGGTTTGCATGTAAATGTTGCATTTATGGTGTCGTCATGGGTTCATGGTATTGTGATAATGGAATTATTATATACTGTTTGGATAATATTATAAAATTTATGTTATTAATAAATAATTTTAATAAATGATTTACTTACACGATGGTGATAAGAAAGGAAATTACTCAAAAAAAAAGAGATTGCTATTTTTCTTTGCGGAGCAACAAAACTGTTGTGGAGCAAAATCTTTGCGTGAACAAGCAATATTTGGGATATCTACGAAACATCTTGTCCTTTATCGGTGTTATCAAAATTGAAATTCTTTATTTTCAGCGAAGTAACATTAGTAATAATATGATAAATTATAATTTTTTTTACTACACAGGGGGCAAACGAGCATGCGGCTCACCTGATGGTAAATGACAACCGCCGCCCATGATCACGCAAAACACCAACGACATTGCAGGTGTGCTGCCGGCCTTTTAAAAAGGAATATGCTTTTTTCTTGAACGTTATAATGTCGTATCGGTTCGGAAATACTGCTGCTGGAACTTGATTCTAAAGAATGGTTGTGCGTGGAAGAAAGTGCCTTGAAAAACCCACGGTGGAGGACCGCCACTCGTCCAGATAGTCGGGATGAAACTTTAGTTTATGACAGGTTGTATAATGGTGAAAATCAGCAGCAAGTATCAATCCGAACAGTTCCTCAGAGTAGTCCCCATTATTTCAACAAAAAGGTAAAAAAAAGTCGAATTGTCAAAATTCTCCTCTTGGCAGTCGGTTTAAAACTGGCGTTAATAAAAGCCCGCATCGTCCACCAGCATATTGTTATCATTAGTTCGTATCATACCGTTCATTTATTCAATTACATGTGTGAGTCACATTTCGCGAGGCGTCCTGTCCTGCGGGTCTACCATGCAATGAAATTCCGAAATTTCGGACTCAATTTCGTGTTTTTGTTTATACCAAAATCGGATCAATAAATGCAGTTTAACATTTCCTTTGTCATACATCCTATCATAAAAGTCCAAAGGAACAATATTTTAACATTTTTAATATGTCCAAACGGCATGTATTATGTAATTTTAACATCAAATTTGTGTTTTGTTTGGCTCCGAAATTTCGGAAAACATTTCATGGTAGGCCCTCTGTGCCGAGTCCGCCGAGCTACCGGCCGTACCCGCATCGCGCAATTGGCGGCAATCAACGTGCCAGGCTACTCGTATAATACGCGAGGATATTTGGAAGAAAGTTTGTAGGGCGCTTTATTGGTAGGTGGCCCTTAATTTTACCTTCTTAATACTCCGGCCGACACACTGCTCGGGAAATGCGAAGAATTGTTGATAATGATCGAAAAAAAAAATTTGTTACAAAAACTTACAATGGCAAACAAACTGACGGTCCACCTCATGGAAAGTGGTAACCGTCGCCTATAGACATGAGCAGTACCATGCACATAACAGAGTATCCTATTTCGCCCATAATACCCCCCCGCGTTGTCATTCCTGAGGACTCAGGTGTTATTCTTCTGTACCCTGTAAACTCACTGCCACTCAAACCGAAACACAGCCATGCAAACACAACTGCTTCACGGTAGAAACACGAATGGGACAAAGGTGCCCAAGCAAACGAATTTTGTAAAAAAAATCATATCTGTCGTTAGTAAGAGAAACGTTTCATAATATAACATGACAATAAAACGGTTAT